TTGCCATTACTGTTTTATCATTACACACATCCATCGCCCTTCCCTCCTAAGTATTCTTCTGTGGCCACGGCCATTCTAGCCAAATCTAAGGTTCTGTTTCTTTCTCAGATCCTCTCATTCGGCTAGAATGAGCAGTCCTCGGGTATCTTAGCATGATCAGGCACCTCACCTGCTCTGACTTTTCAGTTTTCTGCTCTGTACCCGAGAATAAATACCGCCAGATTCCCTACACGAGTTCTTCGCATCGAAGGGGTGCCTCATCTGACTTGATCCCCAAGCCACACCACAGAACAAACATTTTTATAAAGAAGGAAACTGGATCTGGGAAGTTAAGACTGCTAGAACGGTTGCGGGGCTTTTCCAAAAGCATGGACTGCTAAAGCGAAATCAACTCATGTTACTGATCACATTCCAGTAGATGAGATGCAAAAAACCCGCCACGTCGGTCAGCTTCGGCGTAGCCCGATGAAAACCGCCAACTAATAGCCCAAACACGAGTTTTGTCAGCACCACTGTATCTAGGTCTGTGGGTGGGAGACGAGGACCAGGATGGCATCTGAGTAAACAAAGCAGCTACAGACTCCTCGAGGCTCCGGAGGCTGGAGGCCGCCACACGCCTGCCCTCGGGCCTCGGCCCCGCACCCGCCCGCCCCTCACCTCTGGCTCCGGGCGCTCCGAGGCCATCACACAGTCCTCCCGCGCCGGCCCGGGCCAGGAAGGCTGCTCCACTCCTGACCTCTGACCCAGCTAGCTCGGCACCGGCAGGAACCGGAAGTCGTGGGGATGGCCGCGTTCTGCGCTTTCTGATTGGTGAGTACAGCTGGCAGAGCGAGAAACCGGAAGAGGAAGTGGTTGCGCCAGCCGGGCCGTGGCAATGCAGGTGAGAAGCGGCCTGGGCCTTCCATCCTCTAGCCGCCGGCCGGAGGGTGGGCGGGCGGAGGACTCTGGGAAGCTAGGGATGTGAGGAGAAGGCAGAGGCCTCGGCAGTTTGGGGGAAAGGCGGCGAACCGGGAAGAGACGAGGACAGGTCCGGGAGGCGCGGGGATTGAGCCCGCTAACGCGACAGGGTCAGAGGCCTGCGGGGAGGCACGGCCGACTTGCTTGATCGTGTGAAAGGATCGAGTTGGCCTTTGGGAAGGCTCGAGAAAGTAGTGGGCTGGCACCAGGCTTCGATCCAGGCTCTTGGACACAGGCATAACAAGGCTTCAGAAGGCTGGAGGGATTGTGGGCTGCCAAGGGCGAAAACTAAGCTGTTTGTAATCCGAGGTGTGGGCGGAACCTAGTATTTAACCCCATCAGTCAGTGTCGGGTTTGCAAATCAACTTTGTAACATTCTTCCCGGCTTGTACCCAGTTGCTAAGGGCGGAGAAGTGGAGTAAATAGAGCACAGATGGTCAAGCGGAAACCCTCTGCAGACTCAGCATTTAGAATTGTCTAACGTTCAGAAACAATGCTGGTTTCCTCGCCTTTGTCATTCATTACTCATTTAGTCTGTTGCACCTGGTAGTCCTACAGCGAGTGTTTATGGGTCACCCGCGCTTACAAAAGAGACTGGAATACTGGCACAGAGAGATCCATGAGTACACATTGACTCAGCAAATGCCAAGGATAAACGACCAGTTGGGGATGGGGACCGCAGAGCTTGTATTCAGAGAAAGCCTCACACATAAAGGCAAAATGTGAGATTCTCCAGACTGTGTCGTTGACAGTAGCTGCGCTCACAAGGCAGAGGATCATGATGTACGTATACGTACTACAGAGGTACCCGTGAGATAATGAACTTCAGGAATTCCTTCTGGCCTTAAGTGCTGATAGCACCCCTGCTATCATGGCTAGCACCCCTGCTATCGTGGCAAACCTCTCTAAAATGTACTGAACTTTCTGAAAGAAATGTGGCAACACCAACCCCACAGAGTGACACAATCCAAGGATTCTCCATATGCCCAAGGGAAGCAGAGTCATGACAGCAGGCAGGAGGGTGGTAGGCAGGCTATGTCTATTTTCCAGAAAAGGGCTAGACTTACAAAGAAGCCTGTGCTCCTGCTTGAGCATGGTCTTGTTAACCCTGCTGCAGATCTAAGTGAAGGTTGGCTTTTAAGAGAGGCAAACCTTTTGAGCTGGGAGGAGAAATGATAACAGCTCTAAGCCAGTTTTGTTATGAAGACAAAAAAAAAACCCATGAAGTCATAAGCAGAAGGGAATTAGGTCTGGTGCAATGTTCCTGTTGAAGTACCGTGGTGTAGGAGGATGATAGAAGGAATCAGTTGGTAGGAGGACTTTAGGCCAGGTGAACAGGTTGAAAGGTCTAAGGGTTGATGCTGTCTGTAACCCAAATACCAAGACAGAAAACAATTGAGCTTTTCCGTATGTGTCACACTCACTTGTATCTGAGTAACCAAACATCCTACTGATGCAGAGGGAGGAGAAGCAGCTTGAGGCATCATTAGATGCCCTGCTGAATCAAGTGGCTGATCTGAAGAATTCGCTGGGGAGTTTCATTTACAAGTTGGAAAACGAGTATGACCGGCTGACCTGGTAAGGATTGCCAGGACAAGCTGGAAAGGGATCCATGGGTGGTGGGGCCAAGCCCCCTGGCTGACAGGACATCTCCAGTGATGTAACTATTTATCAGTTTGCAAATATCCTTTTTGGTTTGGAAAGAACTAGGTTGCCCAACACTGACAAGTATAGTTTGGCTTAAGGCCTCCATGGCAAGGAAGTAGAGAGGTACCCAGTTTCCCAACCGTGGTGGTTTCTAGGTTTTAATTCTTACGCTTGACTTCTTTGGTGAGGAGGTATTCCCCCAGTGGAGGACAATTACAGCTACATTCATACTGGATCTCCTTCCACAGATGGGGCTCAACCTAAGATACAACCTACTTTGGAATGATGGATTCTGTTACTAGACTAGAAAGGAGGCTTTTATCCACTTTAAGATTACCATAGTATAACCACAGTCTCTGTTTTCCACTACTCCCAATCCCATTCAAGCAATGAGTTGCTTTTTTTTCTATGTCTGTGTCAGAAATTGAAAGTGTGTTCCTCTTTCCCAACTCCATCCTCTCTGCTAGCAAATTTGGTTCTTGCCTAGGCTAGCCATAGGGCTGTGAGTCTTCTGGGGGTGAGTCTGGGTGTTCCAGCATTGGGAACTTACAGAGATTACTTAAAGGGAAAAATAGTTCTGATGACTTCTTACCACCCCCAGGCCTTCTGTCCTGGACAGCTTTGCACTGCTGTCTGGACAGTTGAACACTCTGAACAAGGTCTTAAAGCATGAGAAGACACCACTGTTCCGTAACCAGGTCATCATCCCCCTGGTGCTGTCCCCAGATCGAGATGAAGACCTCATGGTAAGAAGAAAGGATTGAACTTGGGAAATCAAGTCCTTAAATGAAAGTCTAGAGCACAGTTGTTGATTGGATCCTCTGTATAGCAATGAAAAGTAAGGGCTGCCATCTGGAAGACTTGCTTTTTCATCCTTCTGGAGGCTGGAGTCACACTTAAATAATGCTGTGATAACCAAGGCCCATATCACCAAGTCCATGACCTTTCTCCCCCGCCCCCACCCCCCAAAAAAAGTCAGTTCTGCCTGCCTGTGACTTTTTCTGATCAGTCTTTAGAATGTGGGGTTGGGAACTTAGCTCAGTGGTAGAGCAAAGTCCTGGTTTGGTCCCCAGAATGGGGTGGGGGTGAGGAATAAAAAAAAATCCCAAACAAAACAGAAACAACAACAAAAAGAAAATTACAATGTGGCTGTGGAGGGTGGAATTTAATTTGCCCTAGTTCTGATGGAGTGTGTGTGAAAAGACAGTGCCACAGAGAGCTACATTTGTCCCTCGGGTTGTGTTGTCTCTGAAAATGCAGTTGCCTGTGGAAAGGAAACTGGGTTAGAATCTACTTACTTGGATCGCACAATAGGATCAATACACTCTGTGTTGCAGCGTCAGACTGAAGGACGAGTGCCTGTTTTCAGCCATGAGGTTGTCCCTGACCATTTGAGAACCAAGCCTGACCCTGAAGTTGAAGAGCAAGAGAAGCAGCTGACAACAGATGCTGCCAGAATTGGTGCTGATGCAGCTCAGGTTGGACTGAGTCACTGCCCTGCTGCCCCATCCCCATCCCTTCATAAGAAGCAAGACTTTACCAAGCCTGTGTAGTGGGGGTTGGTTAAGCTGGGCTGCCTCTGGAAGAGCATAAGAAAGATGCTTCGCGAGAGTCATTGCTAATCACTACATCGATTCATGTGTGTTACAGAAGCAGATCCAGAGCTTGAATAAAATGTGCTCAAACCTTTTGGAGAAAATCAGCAAAGAGGAACGCGAGTCAGAGAGTGGAGGTAAGGAGGGGAGGTTGGCAACAGGGAGAGCTGTACGAGATGGCCAGAGCGGGAATGTAGTCTGCCTGATAGTGAAGGGAGGCCCTCAGAATGAGCTGCTGGGGCTGCCAAGATGGCTCCGTGGGCAAAGGCACCTGCTGCCAGGCCTGACCTAAGTTTGATCCCTGTGACCTCTGTGGTAGAGGGAAGAACCAAAAGGTTGTCCTCTGACCACCACACACAAAATAAGTCAGTGTGGTTTTAGAGAAGAAGCGTGAACTGGCAAGGAGAGGTCTGTATCCTGTTAGTGCTCTGTGTTCAAGACTAGCCTGAAAGCAGATGCAAGAAATGGACAAAGTGAAAATTAAAGACAGGTTTGGGGACTTCGAGCTCTTTGATGGGGCTGGAGAGGTTCTAGATGTTTCTGCAGTCAGAACTGTAAGCCTGGTGGTCATCACTGGCCTCCAACTGCTGGGTTCAGTCTAGAACTGAACACACACTTCAGTGTTCTTGCTTTTTTTTTCTTTTTTCCAGGTCTCCGGTCAAACAAGCAGACTTGCAACCCTGCAGACACTAATGCTTTAGTGGCAGCCGTTGCCTTTGGGAAGGGGCTGTCTAATTGGAGACCTTCAGGTAGCAGTGGTCCTGGCCAACCTGGCCAGCCAGGAGCTGGTACAATCCTTGCAGGAACCTCAGGATTGCAGCAAGTTCAGATGGCAGGTGCTCCAAACCAGCCGCAGACAATGCTCAGTGGAGTCCAGATGGCTCAAGCAGGTCAGCCAGGTAGGGTGACATGGACTGACTGCAGGAGTGTGAAAATGAGCTAGATTAAGCCCCCATCAACCCCAGACCTGGAGATTTTCCTCCTTTGCATGGTCACTCAAAAGACAGTCAGAAGCCCCGCAACAGGTACCAGAGAAGAAGGCCCTTGACTAGCAGGAGCTGTTGTTACCTTTTACATTCGTCTCAGACTTTTGTCTCCACTGTCCTATTATTCTGGATGGTTCTGTGTGTCTCTTAGGTAGAGAAATAAGTGAGTGGACCTTGATCAAGACCATTTGGTAGATAATCAAGACCATTCGGTAGATAATCAACAAGCTGGTAGTTTTTTGGGTCTGCCTGGATTCTTTCCTCTCACCCTGTCCCTAAGTCTTGGCTTCCTGCCCTCTCTCAGGCTCATTTTTACTTCCTGTGAGAGTAGTCTGGAGGCGTTCGCAGGGGCAGCTGCACGGGTATCTCTTCAGGCTGTCTAGGGAAAAGGACAAATAAAACAACAGAGAACACACTACTCTTTACCTGTGACACTAAACAAGGCCACATAGGCCACATGCCTGTCTTCCAGAGGTAGATGAGCAGAAGTCCATTGCAGGGACTGTTCAGACCCCTCTTCTCTTTCCAGAACACCCTTTCCTCCTAGATACCTTCCGTGAGGGAGCCGAGTGAGGCAGTAGCGCACCTGTGATCTCTGCTACCCAGAGTCAGAAGCCACAGAGGTTCTGAGGGCCAGGAGATGACAGGAATCTGAGAGCTGCATTTCTCATTTATTGTGAAAATTGATCAGATGCCTTTCTTTGTGTTACTTTTAGGGAAAATGCCAAGTGGAATAAAAACCAACATCAAGTCAGCTTCAATGCATCCCTACCAGCGGTGAGTGGACAGCAGCCTCCGCTCTCAGGTGACCTGTGCTGAGTTGGGCAATGAAAGTATCTTTTGCTCAAGGCTTACGTAGAGGGGACAATGAAAAGAACACAGGCTTTCAGCAACAGACAAATCTCAGCGCCGCTGTGAATAGCTGTGCGACCTTGGGAAAGTGACCTCATTTTTCTGAGCCTGGGTTCTTATTTGTAAATGGTGATAATACCTACCTCATAAGGTTGTTGTGAGGATTAAAATGAGAAAACGAATGTAAAACACTTAGCATGGTATATGAAATACTGGGTCTTGAATAAATGATAGTTTCTTACTTTTCCACCCTGCTATTCGCTGTCCGGCACCCAGAACTTACTGTGATTGGTAAAGCTCCATGACAGTGGTGAGCTAATGGATACGGGATCAAGTAATCCAGGAACCATGGCAGCCTGTATGTCTTGGCAGTGTATTGTTTCTGTAGGCTCTTCTGCCCAGGTTCCATCTTGCTGGCTCCATCCAAGCTACAGGCGAAGAGGTTTCTAGGCTGGGACACTGTCCACCTACAGGTCTGATGAAAGCAGTTCAGCTTTTACCTGGGAAATAGGTAACAGTACCCATCTTTACCCTGCTGTTATGAAGATGTCTAGGGAGCAGCTGGTGGGAGGTTTCTTAGGATAGGCCCTGCCAGGCAATAGCACAGATAAAGTACGTCTTCCTCCTTGGAGAGGAGTTAGGCTTCACGTTGTCACTCACGGGGCTTATTTGTCCTCACAGTAACTACTACTCCCTGTTTCTGCCCTCCTCCATCTCACTAAACAATGTGGCTCAGGTAAGATCCAGATTGAAAGTGGGAAGGGCAACAGCCCCATTCTCCTTTCCTGCTTTCGTAGAGTTGAAGAACTGAATTTGTGGACAGGCAGCCATGTTGCCTTTCTCAGCGTTCTTTTGTGGGCAAGGGCAGGGATTGAGTCAGCAGAAGTGGGCCAAAGGGTTTCTTTGTTCAATAAAGTTATTTAAATTGATGTTCACTGGCTCAGGGTTGTCTGATTGAAATTTATGAACAGTGTACCAGGCAATTTTAATTTGTTCTCCTTAAAGTATTTCCTTATCTTTAATTTTTCCTTTATTTAAAAACCCGAAGACTTCCTTCCGGCTACACTATGTGAGTTCTCTTCTGTCACACACTAGTGCTTTGGTCTTTGGTCCTTGTTAAACAGCATTCTACCAGGCTGGGGCAGCAAAGGCCTGGAAAAGTGGTCCTCTGTTGCTGGTCTGTGGAGCCGCGAGTGTTGTTGACAAGCTAATTGACCACAACACACTGCACCAGGGGTGTCCTGTCATCTGCTCTGAGGCAATGGCAAACCTTTCCCCCACTTAAAAGGGCTGGCCCTTTAGCCCATCCAGGTGTTGTTTATCTTCTCATCTCCTCCCTTCCCACTAAATGTCAACGCTAACTTGGGTATTGACTAGAGCTCTAGCTGGACTTTTGCGGACTCTCAGAGTATCTTTCGGTGATTGCTGTCCTTTACTCCACCTGTAACCAACCCCAAGTCTTCGCTGTCCCAGATGAACTGACTTCACTGCCACCACGCTATTGAAATGGCTTCCTTGTCCTCCAAGAACAGGAATATCTTCCTGCTGCAGGAGGAGCATTCAGGCCCTCACCTGCATCTCAGGCCCTTAAGCAAACACTTGAGTGGTGAAGGCACCCACACCTCTGTTAGTTGCTCGGGTAGCACATGCTGTCATTTCTAGCACCTCCTCCCTCCAGAGTGCCAGACATCTCAGCATACACATCTGCTGATCTCCCTCTCCGGGGCTCATATACCAGTTCACCCCACGATAGCAAGGATGTCTGGAACCCCTACTGCTTGATCTTTCAGGAGCAATGTGTGTGGAGTTGCCTGTGAAAAAGACAACTGTTTACTCCTTAGATTTGGGGTTTGTAGGTGACGGCACTACTTCACCATTCCGGTTTCTGATCATTTTCTGCTTGGGGATTGTCCTTTCTGCTGCATTTGGGGCCCTTGCACAAGGGGATCAGGTGGACAGAGGTCTGCTGCATTGTCTCCCGGGTTCTGGGATAGAGAAAGCAGCAGCGGTATGACACTTGAAGTCTTCCCACAGCGGTTCATCCCACTGAAGGTGGGAGCTTATGGAATCAACGTCAAGCCCAACAGGGTTGCCTAAGACCTCTCTCTGGTTCTGCCCTGAGGCTGGGATTCAGCCATTGCTGATTGCCTTGGTCACCTGTTCCTTCTCTTCTTCCAGTGTGAACTGCTGTCCTACTTAGCTGGCTCACCACACTCAACTGTGCCTTTGGGGGACAATGGCTAAGGTAGGTCAGTTGTAGCCAAATGGTCGTTGTAGCCCTGTGGATTGCCAGCACTAGCTAGGTACAGGCTAGAGAGGATGTGGTTGCCCACCTTTTACCCTGCTGCTGAAGGGAAGGAGCTGAACTCGGCAAGAATGCCCAATGTGAGGTCGAGCCCTTCTCCACCCCCTCCACACCTCCCCCAAGCAGCTGGAAACAGCCTCTCCCTTTGTCTGAGTTTCTTGTACAGAATAATCCTCCTTATGGACAATGTATTCTCTGTGTCCTGTGGACACAGGAGCCGTGTGCGCTGATCCCAGCACTAGGCTGGACAGAGGCTGAAGCCTTCCAAACGCCCACCCTGCTCAGCCCCGACTGATGTCCAGTGGAACTACTAAGGGTTAGACATTTGTTCCTGTGTGCTCCAGACTGGAGGGGCAGCACAGCCTTCTGTGGCTTGTCACCGGCCAGTAGTATGACCAGGATTTGTGCTCCTTTTCTGGTCTGCCCTGAGCGTTAAGCACCAACTTGTAGAGGTTTGATGTGATTCTATCTTCCAAGTCTGGAATGCGCAGGGGCTAGCGCTTAGAAAATGATAGGGACAGGGAGTGACTTGCCTGGCAGGCCACAGTGCTCCTCATGTCACATGGACATCAACACGTGTCTGATCCACAGGACAAACTTCTTTCTTTAACAATCTGCCTCTCTTGATCCTGGATCCCATGTGTCACGGAGGCAGAGCCTGGGTTCCTCTGATGTGGTCTCTTGTTAAGAGTCGCATACCCTGAGAATGTGAACCACTGCTTGGACACTTCCACTTCCTAAACATGGCATAGACCAAGGCTGTTGAGTTCCTTGGGCCTCCCTTAACTCACCTGAATGACCCCAGTGACCTTTCTAGCCTGGCAGTCTGACATTGACTCCCAAGGCCACTTGTGTGGGCTTTCTTTTTTGTTTTTTTACTTACTGCATAGCTCTATTACTTGAATAGGGCAGATTTCCCAAATTCTGAAAACCCCTAACAGCTCCTAACATTCTCTGTCATGAACCTTCAATCTAGAACAATGATTCTCAACCTTCCTAATGCTCTGACCCTTTAATACAGTTCCTCATGTGGTGGTGACTTCCAACCATAAAATTATTTTTGTTGCTACTTCATAACTGTAATTTTGCTACTATTAAGAACCATGTAAATATCTGTGTTTTCTAATGGTCTTAGGTGGCCCCCATGAAAGGATCGTTTGACCCCCAAAGAGGTATTGACCCATAAGTTAAGAACTGCTGCTCTAGACCATGTCCCTGGTACTGTTTTCTAGCTTTGCTGCCTTTCTCATGAATATGGGTCAACGAGGGTGAGGTAGCCAGTGTGGTGACGCATGCTTTTAATAATCCCAGCACCCGGTAGGCAGAGGCAGGCGGATCTCTGAGTTTGAGGCCAGCCTGGTCTACAGAGTGAGTTCTAGGATATCCAGAGCTACATAGCGAGACCTTGTCTACAAACAAACAAAACAAGAGGTGGTGCGGTGGCTGTGGAGTTGAAGTTAACCTCCCACTCTCAAACGTCTGTCTCCTCTGGACAAGATAAAGGTATAGAAAAAGTTTTTCAGTCCAGAAAATTATACTTTGTGTAATTTTGATATCCCTGCCTATTTGGCCCATAGTTACCACAGGTTTTGGATGTCTAGACTCAGTCATCCTTCCTTTCATATCAGTTTTTTAGTTTTCCTGGAAATAATGTAAGCCAGGAATATGGGAGCACCCTAAACCATTTTCTTACACGTTCCCAGCCACCTCCCCATATGGCAGTAACCACCTCCTGAACCAAATACAAAGCAGCCTGAGTGGGTCCCTTTCTACTCCTGCCTCTCCACTGCCTCCTGTTCACACTAGTTCCTAATGTGTGGCCCTTTGGATTGCTGTGTTTCGCTCACAAATCCTATATGGAGACCATCTTTTATTCTTTATGCTAATTTCTCTGGAGTACAACTGTTTTCACGGCCTGGTTAATGATGTTTGAAGAGTCTTCCTTAGTAGAAATATTTCTTGGCTCTTATGCCCTTTCTCTGGCTCTGTTCTTACGGTACTTAACCACTCCGTAGCACTCAGCAACGCTGACCATTTCCTTTAAGTCTCTTTCCCTCACTGGCTTCTGCCACACCTCTCCTTGCTCTCCCACCTCGCTGGATAGTTCTCAGCAGCTCTTGACTTCTGCCCCTCTGCCTCCTTGATTGATGTTATTCTCAGCTTGGTCTTAACCCCTTTCTTAAGCTAGCTGCCTTCCACATGACCACCATTCTTTTGTGCACAACTTAAACAAGTTTAATTTTCAGTTCAAATCTCTGCTGAATTGCAGGTTGCTATTTAGATGTCTCTGGTCCATTTGACCCACAGTTACCATAGGCTCCAGGTGTCCAAATCCAGTCATCTTTCTCTCTGCATGCTTGTTTTTTTCTGGTTTTCTTGGGTATAACCTAAGTCAGGGACATGGGAGCACCCTAAACTATTTCTCCCACATGTTCTCAGCTACCTCCCCTGTGAGCAGTCCAATGCCAAGCTCTGTCTGTCTCCCCAGCCCCTAACCCATCTGCACTCAATTGAGCCTCTGAGCCACTCGATGAAGATATTATTCAGTCTCCCTATCTCCACATCTGGAAACTCCAGCTTCTCTACCTAAAAGCTGCCAGATTTTTCCAGACTGCAGAAC